TTAATTATGATGAGCCTGAGAGATGTCTTTTTTGGATTGAGTCATGCTCGTGTTTTGAAACTGTCTGATATCTGAATTTCAGAATCTCTTGGCATGTCTGGAAAGTTCTCTTGCATAATTTTGTGAAGAAGGGCCTCTGTGTTTTGCAAAGCAACTTCATTGCCTTCAGGGATTCCTATAAGTGAATATTAGTGTTTTTCGAATTATCCCAGAGCTCTCTGAGAGAGTGATCTGTTTTTGCTCTTCATTTCTCTTCATCTTTGAGTGCTTGGGCACATTCAAAAGCTTTTTCTTCAGTGTCAGAGATCCTTTCTTCTGCCTGCTCCATTCTGTTACTGAGGGATTCTACCATATTTTTCAGATCTTTGAGGGCTGCAAATTGTTGCATCAACGTGTCAAAATCTTTGGTCATTTTATCTTTGAAATCATTGAATTCTTGATACATCTTTTGAATAGTTTGAAATTCTAATTCCCTCCTTTCATCCATTCTGTTAATATTATTTGCTATCCAGACTCTGAACTCAATTTCTGACATCTCAGCCATCTGTTTATGGATCTTCAATTGCATCTGCTCCATCCTTCCTTGGGGGAGTTGATCTATTCTGGTTATTCAACTTACTAGAGTTTTTCCACTAATTCTGCCCCATGCTGAATTTACACCATTTGGAGATGGGCCCAGAACTGTTCAGCCAGTGGCTGCCACCAGAGAAGATGCCGGCTTCCTCTGGTTGCCCAGAGAGACAGGGCGTGTCTGTCTGGAAAAGCCTCAGAGGTGTAAGCCTTATTGTTCTCGCTACTGTTGTTGCTGCTCTTCACCTTGGTGTACCGCCACTCTCATGTGGTTCCCATTCAACTGACTGTACTCTAGCAGTTCTTGGGCTGCCCAGTGAGGGTGCCTGGAGTGGGGATCACCAACAGTCACCCGGGGAACATGCAGCTCTAGCAATTCTCCAGCTGCAGGTCTGGGACAAGGCACTTGGTCCCACAGCGGTGGGGGAAACTTCTCTTGGGCCTCCCTTCACTGTCTCTGCAGGCAAGGGGGGAAGGGTGGACTGGAAATTCAAAATGGCAGCGAAAACATTAGTTCTATTTTTCGGCCTGGTGAGAGGATGTTCAGAATCTCAGCAGGGTCCCTCTAGTGCAGTAGACCCCACTTCCTGCAGCTCTCACACGCAGGGTGAAATAATAGGTCCACAGTTCACCACTGGACTGTAGGAAGCTTACAGGAGCAGATGAAGAGAAAACAAAGAGAAAAACACACTTTTCTTGGGGGAGGGGACAGACACTTTTCCTTTGGGATGTATTATGTACCTATAGATTGCTTTCTTGGAGTCACAACTTGCCTCAGCAGAGATGTCCTGCAGATATCACTCTTCTCCTTCAGCTGGGCTCCTAGTCTTCAACTTTGTTGGGTATTTTCTGGACATTATCCTTCCCTCTGGATAGGAGCTTCTGTTGGAGGCTGGTACCTGTCAGCCATCTTGCACCTCCCCCCAAGTCTCCTTGGGTACCATGATATAGTCCATGAACTCAATTCTTACCTTTTGAAGCTCTGAAGGCTGCCGCCATTCCTGCCACCTGGCCTCAGTGCAAAATTTAGATGTGATTCTATGGATTTGTGCTAAGGATAAATACCTTTCTTATTTCTAAGCTATTTTGGCATTGAAATGAACCAAAATTTCTGAAAGACATTTATGAAAAGATTAAAATCAACATTTTCACCATAACATTCTACCAAAAGTGACCAAATGAGAAATAAATACATAAAATTAATATTTTTGTCTTGTGGACAACTGAAGTCCACAAGATGAAATTTCTACAATGAATATTGTGGACCTGTATCTGCATCAACAACCATTGAAAGAGTAAAACCATCAACTCAATTATGTTGTTGGACTGGGGAGAAAAATCTGTACATAAGTGATTTTTTTATACAATGCTAAGAAACACCTCTACTGTGAAAAAGTATTCCTTGAATTTGTATATTTATTTGTAAAGCTTCAAAATGACTACAAGTGATGTATTTACTCACGAAGTTGTCCACTGGTAGAAAAAACAAATTAATTTTAAAGAGCTATGACCCTCTAGTCAAATTCTATTTCAAATGATTGTGTTTAAGGGAAGTTGAGTTCCCTAGTTTGGCTTGACATTCTTTCCTCTCTATTTTGAAAAATTAAATGTAAACTACCCCCTCCTTATATGTTTTTTTAAATTTAAAACAACTAACTCTGAGTATCTTTATATCATCCCAGGCTCTTGAGGAAAAAAAGCCAGATTGAAATCATATCTCTGACCTCATTAACTCTTTGACCTTGTCAGTAAAATTCTGTCTATTGAATGGGGATAGATGAATTATAAATTGTTTATGTGAGAGCAAATAAGTATGGTCACTAAACTGATACAACACATAGTAGTAGGTCCTCTAAAAACTTAAGTATTTATCCCATTCACTTTTCAACAAATCCTTGAGTAAATCTTGGAGCCATCTGTCATAAACAACAGCTTCCAGACTTACAGTTTGTTACAATTCACACAAACATCTGTACACATTAGCTATCTGGTTTCTCTTCCTACCAACCCTGGACATGCTTATTCTCTTATCATGGGAAACTGAAGTTCAAAAATAGATAGTGACTTGACCATGGTCACCCAGCTGATAAAGAGCTAGGAATAACATCCAGACCTCCTGATGCACATCCTAAAGCTGCCTACTTGATCCACGTATTTAGAAACAACCATCTGATCGAGGCTGTGATTTCTCACACCAGCAATTGAAAATTATGGATCCCCTGTATACAAAAGGAAAAAAATTAGTAGTGTTTAAGTAGATGTAGTCTCCAGAATTTTTGTAAATGTCAGCCACTCCCTTCTGTGAAATGCAGCCTTTTAAGATATGATTAGTATTCTGAGCATAGGGTGGTGGTAAACATTATGTTTTGCATTATCATGAGATGGCAAAATTACCCACTCTCAAAGGACCAGCTGCTGCAGGGCAGCTGGCGCCCGTGATGCCCACATTCTCAAAACTATTTTAATTGGTAGTTTCCCATGATATTTTTTTAGACAGCTAGGGAGGAAATGTATATGTAAACCTATTAAAGCCATAGCATCTATTATGATGAAATGACATCAATGAATCTTAGCAAGTGAAAGGTTCCATTGCAGGATTTTGAGCCTGCTCAGTGTTTTCATTGAGGCAAGAGTTTCTATAACTTGTCTCCTCAAAAATCTATAGAAAATTTATGGACAAAAATGGTAGAAAAATTCTTCCTATGCTTTCAATACAGTATTTCCATTTAGTCTTACAGTTTTGAGATAATATTCACAGCATACATGACACAGCTCATAACATTGGTCCTAATGGTGGAAAAAACCCAAATGTTGAAATAAGAAGATCCAAGATCAAATATAATCTTTGCCCAAATTACAGACTGCTATAATTAAAGGATTTAACCACTTGAATCTATTCTCACATCTATAAGATAGATAATAAATCTCATTCCACAAAGTTATAGAGAATGTTCAATATTTTAAATATTGTACAACTATAAGAGCAATCATTTATTAGGTATTTATTACATTTTAGGATCTGTGCTAAGGGCTCATATGTGTATTTTCTCATTTAATCTTCCTCCCAAACTCTCGTAATATATATTACTATTATATCCAACTTACAGATAAAATTGTGGTGACAGAGAGAAGTTAGGAAAATTACCCATGTTTACAAATTTAGGAAATGCAAGACCCACTAATTAGACTAATTCTTTCACTCATTCAACAAATATTTGCTAAGGCATAGATTCCCTACACAAAATTAGATATTGTTTGGAGGAGGAAGTAGTAAACATTAAGTTAGGTAAGTAACTAGCTATGTTCACTTTACCCTGGCCACTGTGTAGAGAATGGATTAAAAGGTAACAAGATAGAATCCAAGGAAACTAGATAGGAGGTTGTGAAGGTAATTTAGGTGCTAGATGATGTTGACTTCAACCAGGGTAACAGCAGTGAAGGTGAGGAAACCTGGATGAACTGAGTATACACATTCAGGTAGGACTGAATATGTGTTAGAGGCAGAAAAGTCAAGCTATGAGCATCATGGTGACTTGGGATGGGGAACACTGATTATACAGAGTGAGGGAAAGAAATCTTTGTAGTTGTAATCTCTATGTGTTGGTTTAACCATTATTAACGTTATCACTGAAATACTTAGAGTCTACAGCTGTATAAATTTAAACTATCAGAAAAGTTTATGGAGAAGTGAAATTATTCCTTCCCAGGTAAAAATGAAAAAAGGCAAGTTTGATGTAGAGCTTGCCATAGAGTTCTTAGGTTTTAAATTACCTTGGGACAGGATTGTGTGAGATTCTCTTTGAACTTTGTAAAATCTGAACTTCAATATTTATAACATTATGAGATGAAGGAGGTCTGGAGAAACATTGTAGGATAATTTTCCAGAAAGCTAATAGGTCTATTTTAGATGGTTGTCATGTATATTTTTTCTCTTTTCTACATTTTTTTTTATTTTTCAGATTTTCTAAAATGATTGCATATTACTTTTATAACTAGTAAATCAAAAAGATAAGAAAAAATCTAAAAATAAAGGTGAATTTGTTATGTCTATATAGTCCAGAGCAATAAATTCTGAGAACCATTCAAATTGTAACCTTTCATCAAACCAATTAAAATCAATTAAGATAATGTTATGAATGGCAAAGACTTTAAACTACGTCCTTCTAACTATGCTATATGATGCAGTCCCAGTTGGAGTGGACTAGAATTCAAGATGGGACCTGACAGTCGTGTGATCAGTGTGAAGAAGTCCAGGAAGGCTGAGAGTTTAAGATTTTCTAGTTTTCCCCATTTGAAGTATCCTTCCAAATTTGAACATTTTGAAATTTCTTACACTCTTCACTTCTCCACATCTCAAGGTTAATCAAATGGTATTCTGGAAGAAATCTTCCTAGCTGCTCCTGAGTCTTGCCTCTTTTCCTTCCTTTCAGGGTCAATGATTGTATCTTACGGGTGAATGAGGTCGATGTGTCAGAAGTTTCCCACAGTAAAGCTGTGGAAGCCCTCAAAGAAGCAGGGTCTATTGTTCGGCTCTATGTGCGCAGAAGACGACCAATTTTGGAGACTGTTGTGGAAATCAAACTGTTCAAAGGCCCTAAAGGTAATAAAAACACAAGACTCTTGATAAGACATAAGTGGCAAATCATTTGGCTGAAGTTTTTGCCACAACCCACCTATCCTCTGACATTCAGTGCTTACTAAGAGACTTGAAATTCTACAGTAGTGGATTTTAGAGAAAATAATGAAAATCAATACTCTAAATATGAACTCAAATAGAAAAACCTAGATTTATGTGTGAGTGTCTTTATACACAATAATAACAACCACTATTTATATTTTTCTATAAAATTTTATTCTTACTAGATCATCACAATTTGGGTAGTATATTGTTACAAATTTTTTAGATATAAATGGTAAATCTTCTCATTTAGCAAAACAGTACCACAAATAGTAGTAAAATTATCTACACTAATGTAACAATTATATTTTAATAATACTGCGGCAATGTGTTTAGAATTTTGTGATATTCTTATGTGTTGTACCCAAGTACTAAATAACATTTTATGCTTGCAATAGCCAAAGTAAGTTAAAAAAAACTTCTTTGAAATGTTCACAAGTCTCTTTAGGTTATTAGAGTTAGTCTAGGGAATCACAAAGAGTGAAATGAATTATCATCATACTAAGTTTTAAGAATAATCCTTTGAGTTGCATTCTATTCTTCAGAATGATAGCATTTAATATCAGCTTAATAGTATTTGAAATATTTTAGAAAAATCTATTGATTCCTTCAAGAATGATTCAATATTATAGAAGACTATGACAATCTGTACTATTTGACTAAATAATTTCTCTTTTGAAAAAATCGATTTAATTTCTAATGCTATGTGAAATTTTTAAAGGTAAGCATACAATCCTCTGTGGAAAGTAGCAGTGGGTGATATGTAAGACCTCAACCCCAAGAGTCTGAGTTCTTAAATACAGTGCTCCAACAGGACCAAGTTTGAAAGCTCAGTTTGGCCACATATAGCAGAGTGATCTTGGTTGGACCAATCCCCTCATTAATAAATGAGGACCATAATGGTAGGACATGTCCATAGGGTTTCTAAGGATTAAGCATTAACTACTAGCTGGCACATAATGAGAGGTAGCGCCTGGTAGTTAAGAGACTCTAGAGCCAAAGTGCCTGGATCAGAACTGTGGCTCTGAAGCTCACCAGCTGTTTGACTTTGGGCAAATTACTTAACTGTAATTTTCTCATTTACAAAATGCAAATGAGAATAATACCTGCTCCTACTCATCTTATGGGGATTAGATGAGTTGATTCACGTAAAATATTTAAGACAGGGCCTGGTAAAAACTCAGTCATAATATTTGCTCAACAAATATTACCTATATGTGCAAGTCGTTTGTAGTATTATTTACTACATAGACTTTTAGGATTTGTAAGAGTTGTTTGGGGATGTATAGAAAATACTCATAGAGCCCTCATGGGTTAAATACAAATGCACTAAAATCATAGAATTAAATCTGGTAAAAGGTAAAACAAGGAAAGCACTGTCATACCACTATCTCTAGTGGCATGAAAAAAATTCTTTTTACCCTACATACTTACTAAAATCACATTTGCAAAGTGCATTAAAGCCAAACAAAATGGCCATACCTATTATTTCGACTAAAATATATGCTACTTATAAATAATATGTAGCTATTCCTACAGTTAAATTAAAAGCAATTATTCAGCACAGCCCTAAGACAAATCCTAATTTTAAGCACTCAGCAAAGTAATACCATCCATTTATAAGCCTCCTGTTAGCTGAGTCACTAGATGACCTCCAGCTGCTCAGAGCTGCTATAGATGACTGAGACTTAATTTTGTCAGGAACACAGTTTGGGGATGTTTATTTTTGGTGCTTGGACCTCCTCCGGCTGGTTTACTCTAATCTGAACCAGGCTCCCTTGAGCCTGGAGGTGAGCAAAAATTGCCCCAGGACTGAGAGGGGGGATGTGGAAGAAGTGAGCATTAATCAACCAGGTGTAGCACGACAATAACCCAGTGAAAGGGCACAGTGTAGGGAGATGGTTTGCACCCAGGTTTGTTCTACTGAAAACAAAGAAAACTGTTGCTAATGACTTCGCTTCTCTGAGAGCAGGCTCCTGTCAAATTCCTGTGGAAGCCTGTTTATGCCTGTTGGGATTATGCTGAGTCAATGAGAGTTTTTTGTACAGTCATTATCCAGAGGTCACTGATGGGGATTTGTTTCTCTATATAAAGCTTATTGATTTACAAGAAAAAAAAAACGTTTTAGTCATAGTTTAAGTTTCTAATGCCTTTCCCAGTGCTGAACCAGAGTAAATTGAATAATTAAATTGGATTCTGTACAAAATCTAATGATACCTTGTAATTATAACTTCACTTAGCACCTTGTCTTTATTTTGAATTATAAGATATGTAAAAAAAAATCTTGCCAACATTTAACTTACACCATGGAAACTTTTATACACCTTGGAGGATGAGGATGAATCAAATGTAATTTCTGTCCTCAAAAAGTCCTGATAGGCAGGCACGGTGGCTCACACCTGTAATCCCAGCACTTTGGGAGGCCAAGGCAGGGGGATTGCATGAGCTCACAGGTTCAAGACCAGCCTAAGCCAAAGGGCAACCCCATGTCTAAAAATAGCCAGGTATTGTGGCAGGCACGTATAGTCCCAGCTACTTGAGAGGCTGAGGCAAGAGGATCACTTGAGCTCAAGAGTTTGAGGTTGCTGTGAGCTAAAGTTGCCATAGCACTCTACTGAGGGTGACCAAGTAAGACTCTGTCTCAAAAAAAAAAAAAAAAAAAAAAAAAAAGTCCTAATAGGAAAGATACGTGTAAAGTCAATTAACTTTAATACAAGGCAGACTGAAATCAGCTCTGTAATGGAGCTTGAGCCATGATTACAGTGAGGGAAGAAGGAGCAGGAGAGCCAAAATCATCCACAGAATTTAAAATTTAAATTCTAATCTGCCTTTCTTTGAACACATGAGTACGGTATAGTAAGTAAGTCAACTAAGTTAACGCAATTCAATTATGTATATATAATCCTGAGCTATCTTCATATACATTAATTTAGTTCTTCAGTTATTCACCATACATTTGTTGAGTGTTTACTGTGTACCTGGCACAGAGTCAGATGACAAGAATTCACAAAGAAAACAGAAGTAGTTGTTGCTCTCAAGCATATCACAGTCTGGTGGTGAAAATGCCTATAATACAAACCGGGGAAAGTTTTTGCTATGAATAAAGCAAAAGATTGTAAAGAGGGAGCCAATTAAAGATGGGTAAAAAGAGACTTCTATAAGCAAGGGCTATTTAAGCTAAGCCTTGAAATATAAACTGAAACACAAGTTTAAACAAGTAAAGTATTGGAAGAGCAAGTTAAAGACAAAAGTAAAAGTATGTGTGCATGAAAGCTCTAATGTAGGTAGGATCTTGATATTTTCTAGGAGTCTAATGACAGAACAATGAAAGACATGGAGTGATACACATAAGACTGAGGTAAGCAGGGGCCAGACCACACTTAGCTTTGTGGGCCATATTTAAAGATTTGTGATTACATATAAATGCAATGGAAATTACTACAAAATTTTAAGTACAAGAAAACATGATAAATTTGTCATCTGGGGAAATCATTGTTGCTACTATGGAAAAAATGAATTGAAGGGGCCAAGAGTGTGAGCAGTTAGGGGTTACTTGGAGGAGGTAGAAAAAGATGAATGAGTTTGAGCTATGTGTTCCCATTAACTAAACTACATGGGAGGTATCGAGGACAGAGTCCAGTTTTCTAATTGGGATGCCATTTGCGAGACTGGGAAGACTTTGAAGTAACTTGTGTGGACAAATGATTAGAAATTCACTTTTGGACTTGTGGGAAGCCCGTGATGCATCAGAAAGGAGATCTCAAAGAAGCAGAACTGGAGAAAATCTGTCTGAAAACTTTGTCAAATCAATATACTGATTTTTCCCTATATTTTATGAACTATCTGGGTAATTGACTTTCTTACTTTTAATCAATATTTAATATAAAAAATTATAAAGAAGACCACCTCAGCTATTTTGAAGAGTTATATATATTTAGTAGATCTATTTTATAGATTTTTAAAATTTTTCAGGTTATTATGAGGGTACAAACAATTAGGTTACAATCTTTGCATTTATTAGGTAAATTCCCTGTCGTAGTTGTGTCCCTCACCAGGAGGTGTGCCCCTTACGCTGTGCCCATTAAATGGGAGCATACCAGTGCTCCTCTCTCCTCCCTTCTTCCCCACTGTCCTCCCCCTCCCCCAACTTGAATCAAACTGAATTTTTCTCTTCTGTGGATGTGTATAGTTCATCTACTTGCTTCATTTTTTTTTTTATTTAGTACATTGGATACTTTTCCATTCTTGTGATACTTTACTAAGAAGAATATGTTTCAAATCCATCCAGGTTAATACAAAAGATGTAAAGTCTCCATCTTTTTATGGCTGAATAGTATTTCATGGTGTGTATATATATATATATATATATTCTCTTGGAAGAGAATATACCTCCTCCAAGTAACTCCTAACTGCTGGAGTATATATATACTGTGATATATCACAGTTATTATATATATCACAGTTTATTAATCCATACCTGGGTTGGTGGGCATTTAGGTTGTTTCCACATCTTGGCAATTATGAATTGAGCTGCAATAAATAATCTAGTGAAAATGTCCTCATGATAAAATGATTTTTTTTTCTTCTGGGTAGATGCCCAGTAAAGGGATTGCAGAATCAAATGGAAGGTCTATTTTGAGTTCTTTGAGGATTCTCCATAGGTTATTCCAAAGAGACTGTATTAGCTTGCAATCCCAACAGTGTAAAAGTGTTCCCTTTTCTCCACAACGGCACCAGCATCTTCAGGTTTGAGACTTTGTGAGGTGGGCTATTCTCACTGGGGTTAGGTGATATCTCAGGGTGGTTTTGATTTGTAGTTCTCTGATGATTAGAGATGATGAGCATTTTTCACATGTTTGTTGGCCATTTGTCTGTCTTCTTCAAAGGATGTTGTTCATGTCTCTTTCCCAATAATATATGAG